GTGCTATGATGATTATTTGGAGATTTTGGGAGTTTGGAGTTTAATTGGGAGTGTTTTGGGAGTTGGAGGTTTTAATTGGGAAGTGTTTTGTATTCACCATGTTTGGCGAGGCTCAGTTTTTAAGGAAAAATTTTTACTAGTATTTCTGTAGCATCTTTTTTCCCAATCTATGAGATTAAAAAAATAAAAAAAAAAGAATGAAAACAACAATGAAATGAATTAATATGAAAAAAAATTTATTACAACTAGCTAAACTTGTGACTACTTCAATTACTCTCTAATTCATAATCTAATTTCTTATGTTTATACAGTTATGAAGATATAGAAGTGTTTTTTGTGCTATGATGATTATTTGGAGATTTTGGGAGTTTGGAGTTTAATTGGGAGTGTTTTGTATTCACATGTTTGGCGAGCTCAGTTTTTAAAGGAAAATTTTTACAGTATTTCTGTAGAATTTTTCCCAATCTATGAGATTAAAAAAAAAAAAAAAAAGAATGAAAACAAAATGAAATGATTATATGAAAAAAAATTATTACTAGCTAAACTTGTGAATACTCAATTACTTCTAATTCATAATCTAATTTCTTATGATTTATAAGTTAAGTTAGGACAGTGTCTCCAGCACAGAATGTTGCATCCGCCGTCAGGTCTCTAGGGACTGGGCAGTGGGTGTTACATTTAGTGGTATCAGATCATCGGTTTAGGCGGTTCTAGGATATCTGTAGAATTTTTCCCAATCTATGAGATTAAAAAAAATGAATGAAAATGAAATGAAATGATTATATGAATAAAAAATTATTACTTGTTAAACTTGTGAATACTCAATTACTTTTAATTCATAATCTAATTTCTTTTGATTTATAAGTTAAGTTAGGACGATGTCTCCGGCACCGAATGTTGCATCCGCCATTGGGTCTCTCGAGATTGGGTGGTGGGTGTTACAATCTTGTGCTAAGTAGCCAAATTGATGTATGTTTGTGTGCTTGGGTAAATATGAATAATGTATGAATGGTTGGATTGATTGAAAGAAGCCCCCTACCTCTCTCTCTCTCCCTTGTTGGCCGAACCACCCTAGGGTGGTAAGACATATGTTTTATCCTTTTTAATATATGATTAAGCCTGTAATTCCATCCTAGATACAAGTTTAAAATGTTTGTAAGCTTGCTTTGTATAAATGCTATGTTTTGGTAATTCATGAGAATTTGGGGCTTTTACATGTAAAGTGCGTAATTGGTAAATTGATGATATGTATGTGCTATTGAGACCAAATAGATGTTGTTAGAATATTTAAAACACGAAAATAAACTTCCTTTCATTTGGTACTTTGTTTGGCCGAACTAGGCAATGTATGCACCTATGTTTGTTTTGCTTTTCAAGTGACAATTCTCCTTTAAATTATGATATTAAGCAAATGACTAAGAGTTGGTAATAATGCTTTGCTTAAATCCTTAAGAATGTAAATTTTTTTATTACTTAAGTCAAAAGGATTTTGGGGATTTGAATGAGAATATGCTTGCCTTATGTATATTTGTGCTTCTTCAAGTATAATAATGTTTTGGATAAATTGTATGTGAATTACGAAAGGTTGCATGATGAGAATTACACTTATGACTTATGATTTCCTATGACATGAAATGTTAGAATTTTAAGTAAATTCTAGGATATATGCATGCTTAGTGTATAATCATGCATATGAGGAGTGCATGACTTGTATGATGAGAATTTTCTTTATGTCATGTAATTTCCTATCACAAGATTTTATGATAAAATATATACTTTATAGATTTAACAAGTATTCAGCTAAGAAATCTTTATGAAATGGTGCATATAAGATGAACATAAAGTTTTATGAGAAATTATATAACTTAAGAAAGAAAGTAAGATTTTTGGGTTCTTAATATATTTGGTATGAATTTGATGCTTAATTAAGATTGATTTTGTTTCTAAGTATGCTCTACATATTAATGTAACTCTAATTATTTAGATATAGCTATAATCATATACTTGGCATGTGACCGCTCTCTATATAAGCGAACGCATTTTATCTACTTCTATTGGCTTTTAAGCTCTCTATCTCTGCTTCTATAATCTTGTCTGCTTCTTATTCTACTAAGTGTATATGAGCCTCACAAGTTAAAAATGGAAGATAATGTTTTAATATGGTAACACTATGTAATAGACGCATTTATAAGTTTATATATTATGCTTTTGACATAAGTGATTAGATTTTGGCTATTTATGTATTAAATGTTTTTACCAGTTATCCCATGCTTTAGTTTATAAGTATGCATGCATGCTTTAAATGATGAATTATGACTTAATAATAGGAATCTATGATGTAATATGTTTAACACGGATATATGCAAAATATCTGCTTTATGCATTATTATTATCCTATGATGATTGAATGTTATTATTTATGTATGTTTCAAGGGCGGAGGAAGGGGGGGACTGGGGGAGTTCGAGCCTTCCCAAATTTTTAAAAAAAAAAAAATAACTTTTATCTATAAATAATACAAAAGAATTTTTTTTCCCTTGATTTGGCCCCCTTTAATTTTGAAAATTTCCTTTAACCCCATTTAGTTTTGGAGTCTGGCTCCGCCCCTCGTATATTTGTTGCCATCGCAATCTATGGATGCATGAAATTTATAAGCACTAATGAATTTTATACCCAGGCATTGATATTTATCACACGCAAGTTATAGACCATGGGTGCTGATAGAAGACTAAAATCAGCAATAGAGTTGAGGAGCTATTTTGGTAATTTTATATTTATTGCTTAGTTATGTATTCTAAATTATGGCAGGTATACATTAGGTCAACGGTAATCTTTGGATGCATGAAATTTATAAGCAGCAATGAATTTGATACTCAGTGAGTTGATATTTATCGAATGGTTATAGACCGAGGGTGCTGATAGAAAACTAGAATCAGCATCAAAGTGAAGCTATTTTGGTAGTTTTAGATTTATTGCTTAGTTATGTATTTTGAAGTATGACATGTATAGATCATGTCAATTGGAGTTGTATTCCATTTGAAGGATGTGTATTAAGTTTATATTCTCAAGCATGTATGATAATTAAATTTATGGAGCTTATGTATGCTTAAGTTTAATTAAATTTAAGATATCCATGTATGAATACTTATAAGAAATATATGAATATTGATGATGTATGAGATGCATTGATGTTGAAGTCGATAGTTTAGATTGATATTGGATTTTAATGGATATATGTTAAGGTTGGTAAATTAGAAGTGTTTTTATTTCACAGGGTTTAATTAAGTCCAGGTTTCAGGCAAACTCTTGTAATTTTTCAGCAGAATTTCTCAAATTATTTAATTATAGACTTGCTAGAATTGGCCACTTGTAACATATGTAATTCACATCTTTATATTTAAATTTGATTTGTATGCTAGGTTGGTTTCCTCTAACACTGAATGTGGCATCCGCCGCCTAATCCTCCGGCATTGGGCGGCGGGTGTTACACAAATTGAAATTGAAACCCTATTAAAACCTATACTCATATACTTTAGGTCCTTCTAATGAAATTAACCCTGAAATTTACTAATGAGATTTCATTTTAATTTGTTTTTTCCTCCATTTCTAATAAATTTCATCATTCCTGATAAGGATCTGTACCCTAACTTCACCCCAAAAACTAACTCACAGGGGAAGGATTGAACACAGCCTTATACACCAGCCCAGGATGTACTCCGCAGACGATGTGGAACCCCATGAGACACCGACCCTACGAAGCCAGAGCTCTGATACCAAATGATAAAGATCTGGACCCCTAACTTCACCCCAAAAGCTAGCTCATAGAGAAAGGACTGAACCCAGCCTTATACACTAGCCCAGAATGTAATCCGCGGACGATGTGGGACGCATCAATTCCCAATAACACAAATTGCATAATCTGCCTATTTATGAATTCTCAATCTCACCTCAAAACACTCGTTTAATGTATTGAATTCCATAAAACTAAATTATGAAAAGAAAACACAGCCATTCCTTTCTATGAACACATATTATAATCATGCATATTTCAATCAAAATTTTACATGCTCAACAAGGCTAGGCATACCTTGAAAGTGATACAAAAAGATGTTTGACATTTCTGTTTTTCCTTCAAAATATGCAAATAAATTTGACAATGTAAAGCTACTCATCAACTACCAGCAACAATGAAGAATTGCACGTTAAAAACTTATCTTAACTGTGATCCATGTGGACTGTAGCTAAACCTGCAATATCTAAATTAAAAATTAAATAAAAAAATGAATAAAAATAAGCAGATTTTTACTATGCCTTTGGTAAAGAATGTTAAAATATTCTTAATCTTAGATTATGTTCAATGACTAGCAATGAACCATAATATAATGCAATTAAAGACATTTCTAGTATAATATTGATAAAACGTCATGAAATCTACTCGAAGACATTTCTAGTATAATATTTACACTAAATTATAATAGAAACGTCTTCGAGTAGATTTCATGACGTTTTATCACGACTCAGCAAACATAGCCTTAAGGCGATGTTTGATTCACCTTGGAATGGAATAGGAAGAAAAATGAATGCCTAAATTTAAAGAATCCTATTCCACATTTACATCTTAAAAAAATTATATATTTATTAGTTATATTAAGAATTATACTTTAAAATAGGTATCATTTCAAATAAAAATTCAAGTAATTCATATATAGAAATATCAAAAAAAAAAAAAAAAAGTATTACTTGTGAACAAATACATATATGGAATGAGCAACCCGAATTACACTCCAAGAACTACATCCTAAATCCAGAGCTACCCGAACATGGAATGAGCAGCACTATTATCCAACCAGGTTTAGCTTCTACTAGGACAGTGAGAAGCTTTTCCAAATAAAATTAGAATGTCATTTACAAGCAAAGAAATATTCAAAGAAACCACCACAATTATGGGGCTTGACTAACAGGAATTTGCTCTTGTAACTATTATACATAAGCGACACAAAAATTTGTAACTAAGCTTTGTAGAATTGATTAAACGAAGAAGCAGGGGAAGCTAGTTTCTTAAATATCAGAAAAAAGTGCAATAGAAAGAGAATTCCGAATAATCAAAAAAGCAATAACAACACAGCAATCAGAATCAAATGTTAACCAGTTCGCTGGGTAAAAGTAAACTTGCTGTGGATTGCATGTACATGCTAATGCGTTGATGCCATTCCCATCTGCACCGTAGACAATCTAAAATACTAAAGTATTATATGTATGTAGTTCACAATTTGGCAGTATAGTTCACCTAAAAACTTGTAGAGAACTTATTGAATATGTCTCATGATCCTGACATGTAAGTGTAACGAGTCTGAGCTCCAATAATAAGCTCAACAAGTTTGCCTGCACAATCAACAGATATTTGTAAGTAATTTAAATCTTTAAAAATTAATTCGATTAAGAAAAAGAGACATGAATATAACATGGAAAAATTTTGAACTGAAGAGAATATACAAAACACACCGGTCAGAAGGCCAACAAGAGGTACAGGTTCCAGTAGTTTCTCAGTTCTTTCAAGTTTTTGTCTGCAATGATTAACAAGTATTATTTTCTTTCTTGGATAACTTATAATGGAAAAGATTCCAACTATGAAACTGTAACAGAACTTGTCACAAAAAAAAAAAAGTACATACCTGGTATACTTGCTAAAGAATGGATCTCTCATTACATAAAGCGCCCATAGCAATTTTCTCCTTTTTAACTGATTCAAACATAAAATCACTACCTATTGAGTATCAAATCTATCAACTAATGAGTAGATTGCAAGATACAGCCCTGAATTAATGAGCTGGATGCATTAGAAAATTGCAGGATAAAATCTGGCACAACTCTAACCTCATCCTTTTCGGAGTCAGTGAGACCAAATTGTTGCTGTTTTCCACTGTGGCTTGATTTTGTAACTTGTGTTATGAAGCCTACTCCAATAAAGTCCATAGCCAGAGAAACAAACCATGGGGTCCATGACCAAATTCCATATTTTCTGATAAACAAGACATAAATTAGAGGTCTTGTGATAAAAAGAACCTCTCCCATGACAAATAGTGCTCCATGAAACCCTTTCTCAGACAATAATGTAGAAAGTGTCATCCTCTCAACCATTGGAGCTGTAAAGATATAATTGTGAGTGTTAATGGCACTGATCAAGGAAACAAAAGAAATTCTTTAAGATCAGAATAAGTATTTACATGGAGGCTCCATAATTGCCTGCTGATGTTGAACTCTGCATAACCATACTGGGTCAGATACCATCCGAGCATTTTCTCCAAACCTGCTCAACGCTGACAATGCCCTTCCTTCTAGATTCCATGGATTCTGTCCATTAACATCTCTGTAATAACCAGGTCCATGGTGGCTTCCAGGTTTTGAGAAACCCCCAGTAGCATGCTGAGAAGAAAAGTTCAAGTGCTTTTCATTATTTGGTGTCTCTCCTCCATGCAGAAGCATTTTATATCCACTGTTCCGGAATGAAGCCAACCTAACTAACACCCTGACCATAATAATATTCAATCGCTATGCATGAAATTGTCTAAAATGCATAAAATAGCAAGATACACTCGTTTAAAAAGACAGCTTACTTTATTGCTTCTGTAACAGCTATGAAATTCCATTTCTTATCTTCACCATAATAATGTTGTGCCGCAACTTCAACAAGTGTTTCTAAGTCCTTTATCGCAGATATGCACAATGAATAAGGGAAAGAATAAGGCTCTACAGAGCCTGACTGCATCTGGGTTGGAGTTGTATCAATTATATGCTCATTGATTGCAGTGACTACGCCCAAGATAGCAGTTACTGCAGAGAATGACTAAATTGCTCAATTCGACAATTCAGACAATAGAAGAGTATGAAGAGATACACTATTGTGTTTATTGGCTAGGAAGGAAAGTGGAAACTGAAAGCAATTAAAATTTGAAATTTAAAATTCTTAATTTTTTGGAATCAAAAACGCAACAAAATTACATTCAACAAACCCAACAGAACTGAAAAAATAGAAAAAATGAAATTAACATATCAAATTTAATAATTATTTTCCCAGCAATTTTCATAATTCTTATAAAAAAATATGAAAAGGAAATGAAAAACCCCATCAAATCCTTAGTTCAACAGAAGAAGCCAAATGTTACCAAAGTTTCACAAAACCTGCTTCTGGTCCTATTTCTGAAGCAGAAAACCTCTCAGGAAGAAGCCATGTCAATCCCTGCATAAAAATTCCCAATACCCATATCAGATATCACTCATACATAGACATACAAATAAAATTCCATAACAATTCATAACTTTAACATTTCAACCAACTGAATAGAAAGTCCAAATACTAAAAGCAATAACTAAATGTTTGATAGATTTGTTCATACATTGGCAAGAGATTCAAGCGAGTGCACGTATTCTTTATTTCTTCTAACCCATCTTTTATAAGCCTCCATGGTTTCAATATCTCTATTGAAAATAAGAAAAACAGTAAGAGAGACTCAGCTCTCCTCCAAATCCCAGAATCCAAATGCAAAATCCCAGCCCACTAGACGACGCCTCTTTGGTTGGTGTTTCTGGATCAAACCTAGAATACAAAATACAGAGGAAAAGATACAGTCTCTGTTAATTGGAATACAGAGCTCGATATGAAGAGGTGTAGATGTGAACATGAATGCTTTGCGAAAATGGGAGTTGCTGGAGAGGAAGTAACAAATTAAGGGAGGAAGGTCATGGTGATGTGTATTTTTTTTTCTTTTGTGATGAAATGAAGCTGCTTATTTTAACCGTTCATCAAGTGACGGGCCCTTGATGTTAAAATTGTGTATTTTATGTGGCGCAGTAAACTTTTAACTTGTCTATTTGACCATAGGATCCACATGTCACCGTCTAGGTGTATGGTTGAGATCTTGTGTTAACTTGAAAGATAGTCATTATTGTGACAAATGAGACCATATATCCAATTTGCGCACCCCAATGATTACGTAATTGTATGCAGGGCCCGTTTGAACCGCAACCGAACCTGGATTGGAATGGATTTGGGTGAACGAAGAACTGCCCCAAAATGGGTGGTTCAAAAATTTGTAACAGAGACGACATTTTACGGACCGGTTAAAGTTTTTAATGCTATAAAACATAACGGAAGTTGAACTTGGGTGTTCAATCTGGTCTTTGAAAAATTTTTGGCTATTAAGTCCATTTCAACTGTGAATAGGCAGGTACAGCCAATAATACATTTGAAAGTTGAGAAATTTATTACGTTCTCACTAAGTTTATGCAGCAAAAAACACGGTCCTATTTTCTAAAATTTTCATTAATTTTTTCCAAAAAAGATGCGTGTGACTCCGAAATCAATTCTCAATAATTTTATTTTGAAAAAAAAATACACTTAATAATTATAAAAATTAAACGGATAATAAAAATAGAAATAATGTTGCGTAGAAAATATTCAATGTCCTTCTAAAAAGAGAATAAAATGGGATTTTATAATTAGAAATATAGTTTTTAGGCGTTCATTACTAAATATAGTCGTTATGCTTTAATTACCGAAATATACCTGTTAGACATAATGGAGCGGGAGACATGAAAATAAATCTTCATCAATTCTAACATTATGCTTGGTTGCAATTGTCTTGACAATTTATGATTAGGTACTTGGCTAATTACTCTTTAGTCATGGTTTACTATATAGTTTATCATGTCTCCCCACAAGTGTTGAATATATATGTCCAAATTCAAGCTTTTTGGATAGCTAGATGACAATAGTATGCTCAATTTTTTGTTCAAGACATGATTCTTTCTTTTATTGGCTTTTGATTTTTATGCATATGCTTTAATTGAGCTACTTAAGCTTGATAATAGCTTTGTGCCTTGGATGAGCTGCTTATGCTCGCTTATTTTAATCAGAGCTTCTTAGGCTCATAATATAATAAGTTTGGACTTTGAGGTTTTGAATTTCTAATTAAAGCTTTTTTAAGCTTCATAGTTATTTTACTCAGTATTATTCCGAGCCTTCTAGGTTTAGAATATTATGAGCTCGGGGCTTTCTTCTAGAATTTCTATTTTTGAGCTTCTTAAGTCTAAACAATTAATTTCGAGCTTCTTAGCATAAAGATATTATAAGCTTAGGTTTTTCTTTTTGAATTTCTAACTTTGAATTTCTTAAACCTCAGTAGTTAATTCTGAGTTTTTTAGACTCGAAAAATTTTATAGTAAGCACGCTTAGGCTCAGCTTAAATAATAAGCGTCAAGGTTTAGCGATACTTAAGCTTGGTAAAGGTGAGCACCAGGTTTGGAGCTATTTAAGCTAGGTAAATGATGAGTGTTGGGCCTCTGATCAGTTCTTCGTAAAAGGTGAGCAAGCTTAGTAAGTGATGAACTATTTAAGCTTAAAACTTTCTCTCCTTAAGACTTGGCATGGCAAACAATTTATCTAGAATACCCTTTTATTTATTTGGCTTAGAACCCTTTTACCCCTTTTAGGCTCAGTCACACATCATCAATTTCCTACCTCAAATACATGTTAAAGAAGTAATATTTACGTAAAGCTAATTTCTATATTTAAAATTCAGTTTCAACATAAAAAACCATTTCTAGGTTTTATTTATTTTAATTTTTCAAGAAATTTAACACTTGAAATAAATAAGTGATAAATATTTTTTCAAGTATTTTTTTTAAATCCTAAATTAAATATATGGATAAGCATATATATATATCAGGTTTATTTTATTTTAATTTTAAGAAATTTAACACTTGAAATAAATAACGTGATAAATATTTTTTCACAAGTATTCATTTTTAATCCTAAATTTAAATATATGATAGGGACAGCATATATATATATATTATATATATATATTATAATATATAATATTATACTAATATAGTATATCTTAATTAGTTCAACCCTCAAATTTGAACTAAATCATATATAATATAAAGAATATATTAGTTCAACCCTCAAATTTGAAGCTAAATCATATATAATATAAGAAATAACCTTTCTTTTATCACGATTATTTGAGTTTTTTATATAATTTTATCGTGCAAGCTTTCAATTATATGAACTGAGAAATTTGAAGGGCTAGAAAGAAAGGACTTTTAGGACTTAGCAGATTAGATGAGCCAACACTTATAAAATTTGCTACTTTTGCAAATGTTATTTCTATCCAGTCTAAGCATCCACTTACATAAGACAAGCCTAAGTATTAAACAATCAAATTATGATTAAATTACCATTAGAGCCTTCCAAAAGGTTTTCCAAACAAAGTTTGACAATGAGCAAGAAGAATCGGACTAAATACAACAGACGTTCCTCTAATATCTTTAGTTGAGTCTCAAAGATATGAGGTATCTAGAGCGTCAGACGTTCCTCCACAAGCATCGTAGTTCTGCTGGTCCGAATGAGACGTTCATATTCCTAAAAGAACATCACCCACGAGATAAACTAGTTCCTCATACTCATCAAAAGCATTGACAATAATTTCATAGTACTATTTTATTTTTATAAAAGAGCAATGCTAAATGGCTCAAGTTGAGCTTGGCTCAACTAGAATCTATATAGATGGGATGTCTATAATGCCCTTAATAATTTTTTATTTAGTTGGATAAGGGATATTGAATTTAAATTTAAAATTTACACTATCTCTCCTACTTTAATGATGAGAATCTGAAAATAACCAAGACCCCAAATAAAGTGCTTTATTATAGCTTTAAACACTCTCTCTCCCCTCAGATCCCTAACTCCAAAAATCTTTTTACCCAACAAAGTCTCTATCTTCTTCTACAATGCCATTGAACGGAGAAGGAATTGTTATTATAACATGAATCTACGAAGAAGAAAGGAAAGGTCCATGTAGTTTTTCATGGAATTGAAACTGGGGTTTTGATTCTTGGTCAAAGTCCGTGTCTCGAGTCTTAGGCGTCAGCCATGGCTTGTATAGATCTTATGAAAGCAAAGATGATGCTGTGAAAGCTTGCCATTTGTATTTGGAATCAAGTGGCGCACCTCTCTTGGTTCAAAGGCCAGCAAGTTCGGGTTTGTCCCCAACTGGGTATGTAGGAGCGAATTTGGAATCAAGCATGGCAAGATCTGAAGTAAGAAATGAGGAAGAGATTGAATATCCAATATCGACAGTTGGTGTAAATATAGATTCTCACGAAGTTGAAGTGAAAGCAAGGGATGAATTTGCAATAGTAAATTGCAGGGAGGGAAAATATTTCTTAAGTTTCATAGCCATCTTCTTAGTTGGTCTATGGTTTGGTATATGTATTGGCATCTATAAATTTTAGCCAATGTAATCTACCCGTTGCTGGCTTAAATCCCGATGGAAGAAATTTGCATGTTAGAAATGTTAGGAAGGCTGTAATAATATCGCAGTTGAATTTAAATGTTCCCGTACAATATGATGGTGTGCTATTGTCCTTTAATGACCTGCTGAATTTAGTTTCACATTGAAATGACCATTTGAGTTGCAATTTAGCTTGAAATCGTGTTGTTCATTTAATCGGCATTGGAATCTCCTCCAGAGGGGCAACATTTGAGCTTTAACGAATGAAAAGAAAACCGTGATATTGGGAGTGAGATAAAATTTCTATTCATGTATATATCTAGACAAGTACTTGTGCAATCAAGCTTTAACTAGTTTTTGTGGCTTTAAATTATTTGGATCCAAGGATGACCAAATTTAAATATTGAGCTAGGAATTGGAAAAGCATTGAAGTAATTATATATCCAAGTGTAGGAATGGACCGAGTAGTTTCCCTTGCTCTTGCTGCATTGCAAACGAAATGATAGGATTTAAATTATTTGTATCCGAGATAGCCTAGAATTGAATTGGCTTCAAGTTTAACAATGATTTGGGAAGTGGATAAGAATTGAATGAATGTTGTGAGTTTGGTCCACTAGGCTGTTCAAAGAGGCCTTTTATATGTAATATTTTTAGTTAGTAACAATTTGTTAACAGTTTTGCAAAGGAACTGAGTAGAAGTATTAAAATGAACAGTTGAGTATATAATATTATGTCGCACCGATTCAACGTAAATATTTCAATTAATTTGTGGTTCATTTGGAGGTATTATTGTATGAACGATACGCGGAAAATTTACGAGAATGAATTTTGTTGAAAAAAAATTGACATAGATAGGGGTCGAAACTATGAGCAGGGTCGTGGAGGCATGTTTACATGCCTTTTGTGGTTCAAATATTTTACAATCTATTACGGAAAAGGTATTGTCCACTATCTTATATGCCAAAAGAGAATCGAAGTTAAGAAAAAGCTTATAACATTGTACCCCCTAATCTCGTGTTTGGATCATAACATCATAATATAATTGATCAACATTTAAATAATATTTTATTGCACAAAAGTTATATACTTATAGTAGTGCAAACCCACATTGTGGGCCAAAAATTTGTCCTGACTTAAATGTTTATTGCTGACCCAATCATCATTCTATACTTGGTTCAATATATTAGATAAAATGTTAAGTTGTTTGGTGTTTGTCCTGTACCATTTTTCACTTCTCCACAATTGTGATTAAGATAATATCTCGAACTCGGTTGAAGTCGCTCCGAATCAAACGACCACACATGCTTTCACAGATTTCACGAACATTTCCCTGTCATTTATGAAAAATGATTAGTGAAAAAAAAGGGAAAAAAACCATGAAAAAAAAAAAAATCACGATTGCACAAATTTTTGACTAACTTTGAAATTCAAGGATTCTGCAACTTCCCCAAGTGAACCCAAGGTGCATCTGGCTCGGGTAAACGAGTATATAATCCTGTATTTTGCGTGCTTCCCTTTCCGAGTAAACAGGCTGGACATCGTTTCACCAATTTTCTCACATCTTTTTCCATCTTTGGCCACTGACATCGTTTTCACCAATTTTCTTCAATCTTTTTCCATCCTTTGGCCAATAATAACGGTCAGAAACAATCGCAAAAGTCTGTGTCTCTACCAAAGTGTCCTCCCAAACCATTTCCATAAGTTCCTCTAATGATGTTCCTCTAAAGATTCCTTCAGGAATGCATAGCTTATTCCCTTTGAATAAATTAACCATCTTGGAATCGGTTATGGCAGACTTAGCTTCTGAAAGACAATGCACAAATCAGCCTTTATCTTCCAAAACATTTTAATTCTGAAATCATTACTAGTTTTTCAGTTTCTTCAATAAAACCAGTAATTTTGATGCTCAAAATTGACAAATGTAGGATTCTTGCTACTCAATGCTCAGCCACAAAATATTAGATTGACCGGATCTATACTTTAGTGAGAAATTTTAAAGTGAGAAATTAAATTCATCAAGGAAAGAACTCCACTTAGCATGTCGATTATTGAGTTTATTCTGAGATTTTAGATACCTCAAGGCCTGATGATCATAAAAAACCACAAACTCACGATAAGCTAAGTAATGTTGCCAATGTCGAATAGCTCTTACCAAGGCATAGAACTCTAGATCATAAGTTGAGTAACGCTTCTTAGCTTCAGACAACTTTTCACTAAAAAACTCAAGAGGTTTGCCCTCTTGGCTAAGAACAGCTCCAATCCCTTCATGTGAAGCATCACATTCGATCATAAATAATTTCTCAAAATCTGGAAGTGCAAGAACAGGTGCTCTAGTCATCAAAAACTTGATTCTTTCAAATGCCTTTTGTGCAGAATTTGTCCACTCAAACTTTTCTTCTTTCATAGATTCAATTATAGCACTCATAATTGAGCTGAAATTTTGGATAAAGGATAAATCTCTTACAAAGAGGCAAACCATGAAAGCTTCTAACTCTTGATGGATTGGTGTGTGGCCATTCGGGAATTGCACGAACCTTTTTCTGGATCTGGTTTATCCTTCAACGGACACCAATGTATCCCAGGCAATACCAACTTCTGGTTACAAGTGAAACTGCATTTTTTTAAGTTTATGTGCAGGCTTGCTCTTGACGACAGTTACTTCTACACACTTTTCGCAAGGGTTTTTAAAATGATCTTCCGTGCGGCTTATAAATCAAAATGTCATCGAAATATTACACAAAGCGAAAGAATTCAAGAAGGTTTAAGTACAATTCTGTCATGACTCTCATGAATGTGCTTGGTGCATTAGAAAGGCCAAATTGGCAATTTACTAACCATTCAAAATAACCAATGGTGTCTTAAAAAAGCTGTTTTCCAGTTCAATCACCATGCCTCATTCTAATTTGGTGATATCCACTTTCAATGTCAATTTTGGAGAACAACTTCAGGAACCCGCTAGTGATCAAGCATTATCCTCCATTCTTGTATTGAAAGCGATATTTGATTGTAATCTTGTTTATAGCCGACGACTATTACACACATTCTCAAGAACTCGTTCTTTCTTTGGTGTTAATAAGGCTGGGCAGGCACATGACTTTTACTTCACGCCACCACTTTTACTTTCACGCACCAGACCTTTTTCCAATAATTCCTTAACCTGTCTTTCTATTTCAGCCCGCTGTAAAGGAGGCATTCGGTATGCAGGCATATTTGGTAAAGCTGCTCCTGGTACCAAATCAATAGCATGTTGGATACTTCTTAATGGTGGCAAGCTTTTCGGTACATCTTCATTAATCAGCTCCTTGAATTCCTGCAATAATCGTTGAATTTCAAAGGAATATTCAACTGATTTTTCAACCTGGTAAGCTCCTATTAGTTTGCTCACTAAGGCATATGTGACTCCCACCTCATTAGGCGCAGCTGCAAATTCTTTAACACTTACAAGCCCATTTAATTTACTAGTTGCAGCTCCTTTATTTGCTGTTTGCCTTGTTTCTTCCTTGAGAGGATGAAAAGTGTACTTCTTGTTGTCCTTATAGAACGAATAAGTATTAGGCCTTGTCTTGTGGTCCATATCATGATCATACAACCAAGGTCGTCCCACTAGAATATGCCCAACATCCATTGGTACTACATCACACATAGTGCTTCATCTGCCAAGTCATCTCCCATTGTGAATTGCACTAAGCATTGAGATGTTACTAGTATCTCATGTCCTTTCTTCAACCAACCTACTTTGTATGGATGAGGATGTTTTGTTGTAGGAAGCTTTCATTTTTCTACGGCCTCCTTTGATATTATATTTTCCATACTTCCTCCATCAATGACTAAATTACACACTTTGCCTTCACAAATAACACGTGTACCCAATTCTTCTTTTCCTTCTTTGTTCATGGCTGTCATAACTGTTCAAACAACTAAAGACTCAGCCTTGAGCTGGTGAAACATTCCAATCTTCTACTTCCTCATCATATTGCATTCAAAATAGGGCCTTGGTCTTCATCATACTCGCTAAAATTCACCCTCCTTTGACAGATGAATGAAGTATTGTCGCTTTTACTCCACAAGTAAAACAACAAATTTGAGAATTTGTTGCCTCTCCTGTGGACGACCAGAATTGGTTTGTCCACCATAGGTACTATACCTTTCCCTCTACGTTCCTGTCAACACGGGCTGTCTCTTCATTGTTATTTTTATTAGCGGCAGCCTCTTCCCGCTTCGTTGAGTTGTTTGAATCTCTTGCAGGTCCGAAATTGTTTTGCAATCTGTTTATGGGCCTTCTAGCTACCGTAACGATAAACTCGCTTTTCAGCTGCTTAAAGCATATGGCGAGCATCTTTTCAAGATTGTGTATGTAATCGGATTAGTGCCCATTTCATCTCTAAGGACTGATTCAACCAACAAGGTTAGGAGAGTAATTTGTTCATTTACTTTGCAGATATTCAACTCGAATGGACCCAAAATTATTAAATTCGATGCCAATTACTCTTCAACAAGCTGGCTATTTTGTTTCAAGCAGTGGAAACCTTTCATAGAGTTCCATGTGCGTTAATCAGCTGCTAAAATATCAGCTGCTAAAAATTGCTTCCTTAGCTTAGTTTTCATGTGCTCCCACGTGCTGATTTTGAGCTTTCCTTGTCGTGCACGCTGCTCCTCAACTCTCTTCCACCATTGAAGTGCAGTACTCTTTAATTTAAGCTTTACCAAAAGCACTTTTCGAGTTTGAACCATTGGTTTCCGTTCAAAATAATTTTCTAAACTAGTTTCCCAATGTAAATAGTCTTCGGCATGCGATTTCCCATGAAAATCAGCAACTTCAATTTTAACTCCTCCACTATTTAAATCAAGAGCATGAAGTAAACGCTCTTGCTCTTCCAATCTGCCTCGTGCTGCTGGGTTTGCAGGTCCAGCTTCATGAAAGGGGTTTACATCCTCGACTTCCTCTTCACTCTCAAGAGCTTCTTGAAAATCAAGGTTTTGGTGGTTGCCTTCCGAAATCTCCATTCAGGCTTCCATGGGTTCCTGACGCTGCAAGGCTTGTACAGCCCGGGTCAAATCCTCAATCATTCGCCACATCTCAGCTATTTCATCTTGTTGGGGCTGATTGCCTCTGCCTCTGCCTCTGCCTCTTCCAACAGGGTTTAATTCAAACAAAAAAAAGAATCCTAGGATCTGTTTTTGTGCTCTGATACCAGTTAACGCAGGGGGAAGATGTAGGGCTATCAGTTTTTAACAAGTAAGCTAGAATAGGGTTGATTGTAGGTGGAACAGTAAATAATTAGGTTTATAACCTTTGAATTAAAATTATGAGGAAAATAGGAAAATAAGATGATTTACAATGCTTACTAGTGCTGTCTATTTATAGTATTTATAGTGATAAATCCTAACTAGATTAGGAATCCTAATTAAAGAAAGAATTAAAACTATATTCCTATTCAATGATAAAATAGTAAATCCTAATCAAATAAGGAAACGGAAAACTAATGCAAATCTGAAATAAAACAGTAAATAAAAAAATCCTAGTTGTGCTAGGAATCCAATTAGGACTAGGATTGCTCCTGCATCATATAATGCTATGAGTAGTATTGGATAATTCGTATTATCCACCTGCATTTGCATTCATGCATATACGGCTAAATGCTAGACATGCATTACTTATTAAATCGTTATTTTGTGTTGCATTATGTGTTGCTATTAGAAATGGTTTGATTAGTTGTGATGTGCTTTATGTATGCTTTGCTTGTGTAGAATTGGAATGAAGTGGGTCACCATGGGTTTGTGAGGGCGATCGTAGATACCGTCGGCTATGTATCGGGAGATCGGTGCCCCTATGTGCATCTGATGATATATGATATGGAAAACCATAGGGTGGCCTCCTATTGGTATGGAAAAGAAAAGAGGGTGTAAAAAAAAAAAAGAAAAGAGGGTGTAAAAAAAAATGAGAGGGCTGGTCAAGTGAGGTTTAGATCGGTCGGCCATGTATGGGGGATCGGCTCCCTAGTGCACATATTTAAGAGGGTGGGCCATGTGGGAGGACGGCTCGTCAAGGTTTTAGTGATGCCACTGAGCATTTTCCACATGATGTGATTATGTGAATATGTTGATTTTTTTGTGATTGCTGTTGTTATTTCATTTGTGTGATGGATTGCATGATCATATAACTAGTCGGATGACCAGATTGATTTATTTACGCATTTGTGTGATTGTGTGGGGTGAGAGGGTTAACTAACCTACTCACTGAGTTTAGGCACTCATTCTTGCCTTAATATTTTTTCAAGTTACAAGTCTTCCAGTATCTCGTGATTCTTTGCCACCCGACGTCTAGAGGAAACGTTGAAAATGAAATCTTGAGTAATTTTGTTTAGTGTATTGAAGAAAAAATTTAAATTCTTAGATTGTTCCGCAATTACTATAGTTATGTATATAATAAATTTAAAAATCATTGACGTATTACTTATTGAGGTTTCTATTATATAATATATTGATATATATGAGCCTAGAGAAATTTGGAAATTGATTTGGTACAAAGTATGATGATATGGGCCAAGTGAGCCCAAGACTTATGATATGTGAATGTTGATGATATTGTGCTTGAGGCCATTTCTTTTGAACAAGAAGTTTGTTTGGTATATTTTTTGGCTTACTACAGGCCTTGGTGGCTTTAAACCTTCCCAAGTCTTGGTGCCAGTCCGGTCCAAGGTAGTGGGTCATGCACCTACCATTGGTTGTTACCTCGACACCTTGCGAATTTAAACTAGTTATAAATTCCATTTGGCCAAATTGTAAATAAATGTGCAAGGGGAGCTTAATTTGTTTGGGAAGACTCAGTTAGCTATTAGGAATTAATACTCAAATGGGAATATTGGGATTTGTATTGTATGTGGAATAGATGGATAAAAATTTTCATTTCATTGCTTACGTCTTTTGAGTCAACTCCAACAACATCACCAAAATGGTCTTCTACTCAACTTCAACCACTTCACTAGTATGGTCATCCCTTGCTCCTTCAATTGGTAATCTGAAAGTGAATAATATTTACATCCTTGTAAGTGTAGAACAAACTATAAGTGTAGAAGTCCTATAATACTATTAATTCCAAATTTCTTTACAATGGTTTTTGCCAAACAAATGATCGATTTATGAGTAGTGTTTGTACATCGAAAAGTGGTTTGGAATATGTTGGTAATTTATACTTATGCACTATACTAGTTCCTTTAGTAAATAAAAGTCAGACCACATACAAAATGTATGTGAAGCCCATTTCTCCATGGGTGATAATCGACATTAGACTGCTATTCTCTAGATCCACTTCAATAGCTTAGTCGTGAACTGGATCACTTCAGTAATAGTCAGCCTAGAAGGGAACAAGTGAAACACAATATCACATACATTTTGCATTATATTTGAAATTTATTATGTCCATAACAAATTTTTCATATAAGGAATTAATCATAATAAGTGTGTCAATCTATTAATGTATTCGAAGGAGGTATGCGAAAGGTCTAGTTCTTGCATCCTTTTTTGATTGGGAAGTCATTGCACAATTTTTGAAAAATGACGTTCTCTGTCTTCATTTGATTCAATCCTGTCATCACTTAAACAATAATCAAATTTTGCATCTATCGACACAGTCTAAAGTGAAAAGTATTTTCCGAGCAACAAATGAGAATAGATTGAGAAACAACTAACCTCTTATTCTTGCCTAAATTTTGCTTTCTCGGTGTCCTCCTCGCGCTGTCTATTGCTTCCAAAGTTGCAGTCCTTTGTGTCCTCTTAGTACTGATCGTTGCTTCCACATCTTTAATACGATAATTTATTTATTGTAAAATAAATGAAAGCCTTCATGAAAGAAAACTCATGAAAAATTTAATAACATTAAAAACTATGCATATTGTTTCTCGTTATATCTTTCCTTGTTATGAATTCAGTTTATAAGTTTAAGAAACATATGACTGTTTATTAATATATTCATTAATATTTCATACATTGGGAATAAGGCTATACAGTATGGGCGATGATATTGCCACCTCTAATTCAATTAACATTAGTCAATAGCATTCATGACCAAATGTGTGCAGACATAGTTGCTTCCATAAAGAAGATATTGAATAGTTTTTTAGATCTAAACGTTCTTCTACGATACATGGTGTGTTTATGCTACTGATACATGGATGTGCTATAATATATACATATAATTATATACTATTAATAATATATATATATATTATATATATATATGTTCACTTATATAGACATATGTAAGTTGATTTATGTACATCAATGTCTGATGACTGCGGTTAATTTAAGCTATTTTAGTGTAAGATTAATGTTTGTTTAGCTAGCTAATGTGCACAGTCGGAGTTGTTTTCAAAAAGTTTAAGAATTATAATGGTATCTTAATGATGTTGGTCTAAATGAATATTTCCAAATCAGTTCAACACCTAACGTGTTAAGTTGTCATTATTAAATAGATGTTATATTATTTATTTTAGATCTCAAATTGATTTAGCAGTACTCTCATATGGCAAATATTATAATCATGGATTCACTTCCTTAACATTACTTTTGTTATACCTACATTATTCAACTTCTATAGATCTCGAATCTTACAAACCTCAAACATTT